GATATACAGAGTGTAAAAGAACAACAAGAATGTTTTAACTAGAGTTTGCAAGGAAGAGAAAAACAAAACAGCACTTAACAAAAATAAAGACAAAAAAGGTAGAGAGAATGGAAAAGAGAGAAAACGTTGTACCCATAAATGATGTGAGTTGGAAAGACGAGATTCATTGGTTCTAGTGACTATTTAATAAGTTAAAGGTTTCATGCCTGATGCATTCTTTATCACACAGAACACGGGCTAGGTAGGGTATGGATGAGTTTTTGTACTTACTAGTGCGGGCATATAGTTTCCTATATAGACTTCTTGTTTTCCCTGAAGAGATACATGGGGAGAGTTGTGAGTGTAGAGGGTGTTGTGAGTCAGATAAAATGGACTTCGCCCATTTTTCACATGAGTCCATGTGCCTGTCCACCAGAATGTTAACAAGCTGGCTAAGTGGTAAACTGCTTACCCTGCTGACAACCTTTAACATCCTACGTAATAAGGTATAGTCTTTCTTCAATAGCCCAGGAAAGACTAAGGGGGAGCAATAGAGAATTATAGGCAGAATACGGGAGTTAACAAATTGTAGTAGTAAGGGTTGGGTTACACCAGAATGTCTTAACTTCTTGATGTAGAAGGTAAGACGGTATATTTTCTTGGAAATCGTCAAGATATGAGACGACCAGGAAAGATCAGAAGATAGAGTGACGCCTAGGTATTTAATTTCCGACTTGGTTTCTATTTCAGTGCCATCTATGTTGCACACCTCGTGAGCGCTAACCAGTTTGTTTAGGTCAGATTTATGCCTAAAGGTGAAATTAACTGTTTGGCATTTGGAGGGGTTTAAGGTTAGACCGTTTTCCTTGGACCATTGGCTAATTTCTGATAAGAAGCCATTTAGTTTAGAGCAGTCATTTTGACATTTGACAGGTAAAGATACAGTTAGGTCATCAGCATATTTGACAAAGTTAATATCATTTGAAGACGGTAGGTCATGTAGGAAGAATGAAAAGAGAAGTGGGGAGAGTACAGCACCTTGGGGGACACCAGCTTCAGTGAGCACAGCAGAGGAGGATTGACCTTTGTATACGGTGTACTGCATTCTGTTTGAAAAGTAGGAATGCAACCACTTAGTGACCCAAGACTCGGTTTGTGTCGTGGATAGCTTATTTAGCAAGAGACTTCTAGGTACAGAGTCGAAAGCAGAAGTAAAGTCAAGAAACGTGCAGCGGACATATTTGGCACCTTTGTCTAATGATGAGACAATACTGTTGTGTAAGACGGCTGCAGCGTCTAAAGTACTCCTACCCTGTCTGTAGGCAAATTGTTTGGGGTCTTCGAAGCTTTTAAGGGAGGGTTCGAGTTTAAGAAGTATTAGTTTTTCCATGAGCTTTAGAAACGGGGAAGTGATGGCGATGGGTCTGAACTTTACGTTCTTGCTATTTCCAGGTTTAGGGACAGGGACTATTTTAATGTCTTTCCATGGAACAGGTACAACGTTTTCGGAGAAAGAAGCATTTAGGATATTAGTTAGAGGAGAACATAAAGCATCTGCACATTGTTTTAGGACATATGCAGGTATGCCATCAGGGCCAAGACTATGTGAGGGCTTAAGAGTTTTAAGACATTTCAAAACATCGAGAGTATTGAAGTCCTGGAAGTTATCAGCTACAAGATTGGTAACATTAGAAGTGGTTATGGTAGAAGGAGAGCGTATAAAAGACAGATTAAGAGCATTAACATCACAAGAGGGAAAAACATTACATCGCTTACTATTGCCAGTAATTTCATTGAAAAGTTTCCACATGCTGTTTGGAGATTTGCATGATAAAAGTGTTTGGTTATAGATAGCATTAAGATTTTTGATTTCAGATTTGATTTGAGCATTTATCTTTTTAAGTCCTAACTTGTCTTTGCATTTATATAACATTTCTTTTTGCCTGCGAAGTTGTTTGAGATGGGGAGACGAGAAGCGGTCGAGGCGTTTGAACAGTGTTTGTTTGGGACAGCATATGTCAAGGCAGAACTTGAGATAATCCATTATATTGGTGATTGAGTCATCTAATGTACTTTCATAGAATAGATCCCAGTTGGTATCTTTTAACATGCATCTTAGATTGAGTAAGTTGTCAGATGTGTAGCTTCTTTGTTGTGCTTCGTGGACAGGTGTGAGAAGATTTTAATATGTGTTTTGCTGTATATTTTTGGCAAAACGCGGACAATGCAGTGATCGGAGTTAGTTAAAGCAAATCGTCACATTGAGTTCCCATGCACATTTTGATCACATTCTTTTCAAACAGTTATTTGCTTATTACTCAGATATGTCTCGAAGTTTATCTAATTTGTTTTCAATCAGCTCAAAGATGAAAATACATTTTCAACAGTTAGTCTGTAGGGATTTAATTTGTTTTAAATTTGGAGAACCATTGAAAAGCAGGAAGTACTGGACAACTTTTTCTTCTTAGTTTTGGACTCTCTAGTGTTGTATGTACCCATCAGGGTCTGAACACAAGATCTTCCTGTCGCAAGCCAAGCTTGTTGAACATTCAGCCACTGGAGCGTGATCTAACGATCCATGATTGCTAACTTCCAGTAATTCGGGATTTTAGCGCGACCATCAACCGGTAAATTTCTTTAATTTTCCGCAAATTGTCATGCAACATCTGTATTACTTTTAAGTAAATGCGGTCGGTATGCTTTATTTGAGTATCAATTTCGAGGTAGATTATACACCTTCAGAAAGTTGATTCAGTCTATAAATCCTCATAATACGTTAATATTAACCTATTGCCATAGAAATACAAGTTCAAACAAAACATCTGCTTCATTAACTGAGGCAAGCACAGTAACTTAGTAAATGGCACGATCTATTATAATTTGTGCTTAAACGGCAGACTATATCAGATTTTGTAGCTATTCAACACTCTCCACATCTCTCTGATATGTAGCACAACTTCTGTCTAATACTTTCTATTCTTCGGTCTTTTTCCACAAAGCAAGGTTGAATAGTTTCCAGTGAAACGGAACAACTATCTAAGATTTAAGAGGTTTGTACATCAAACACTCTCATCAACTAAATTGTTTAGAATGAAAAAGATAACAAGTACAGGTAATTTTGTGATTGTTGTCTAGCAGTGGGATCCAGAATGTGCATTTCATCCTATTGGGGGCTCATCAGTTGGATTTATATGTACTCTGTAGTGAGTAGAGATGTTTCCACTGGAACTCAAACCCAGTAACCATCGTTCCAAACGTCAAAGCGTTATCAACTACGCCATTAGGGTGCTTGATGTTGCACAAGAGGTGGCTCTCGTAGACCAAAACGTCTAGGGGATAACGCTCTGGAGTTTAAAACAATGGGTACTGGATTCAAGTCCCATAGGAAACACCATCACCCACTTGGGAGTGCAGGCATATCCAATTGACGAGACATGAAATTGGACAAAATGTGTATCGTCAATTCCACTATCAGTCCTCAGAAATCGTTGAAGCGTCAGAGCTAGGAGCCAATATATAGACTGATGTATAACATTTCATCCCAAACAACTAGGGGAAATTCAAAATCAAACCAATAACATATAAAGACATTAAGTATTGCAAACAAGTGGGTGAATTTGTGACGAATATCCGAAAGGAAAAGGTTCAGAGACTGAATGGAGCAAATAAGCAATTGTGGGAATTTTCTTCTTTACCTAACAGATCTGATCTAGGATTTTATTTGTGGAAGATGACCAACAGTGGAATCCAGGATGCGCATTCCGCCCGGTTTGGGACTCGTCATCTGGATGTACCTGCATTTTCCAGTGAGTGATGATGTCCCCACCGAGGCTCGAACCCAGTGCCCTTAGTTTCGAACACCAAAACCTTATCCATTAGACCACTTGGGCCACAAGAGTCACCTCTTTTGTAACAGGTTATACTAATTTAATTGAATTTGAGACTTTCCCGTCGACTTATGTCAACCTGAGACCGAGCACTTCGGTCCGATCAATCGATGGGAAAATCTCAAATTCAATTTAAAAAAACATCTGATCTATATTTTGGAACCATTGTGGGTAAATAGTGCATTGAAAAAAGCATTTATCTTCTACACACACACGCACAGCCATACATATTAAGCATAAATCATTTAATACAACCACGATTAAAGAAGTTGACTAGGAGACATGAAGCACGCAATGCAGAGGCTTGAATTAATTTCTATTCCTATAGAATTTTATCACAAGCTGATAACCGTTAAAAAAACATTGGAAAACCTGGGAGTACTGGAGAGTTGTTGCACCCTGGTATGGAATCTTCATCAGTACGCGCCCACCAACAGGATTTGAAACCAGGACGTCCTAGTTACAAAGTGAGCCACCGGGACACAACTAATTGGCCCATGAATTCCGGCTTCCAACAATTCAAGCTATGGTGCGAATGATGACAAGCAGTCGCTGCCGATGACACTGACTGGTGGTCAAGATAAAGATCACGAAGTGGCAGAAGTTCCAATTCACTGGGCACTATCCTAGTGGATGAGTAGTCTAACAACTCGCCTTGTAACTGAAACATCCGGCGCATTCAAACCCTGTTGGTGGGTGAGTACAAAATTAAAGAGAAACAGCTGCCCAGTGCTCTTAGCTGGTTTTCCAATGGTTCTCTAACTGATGTCGGCTCATGATAAAATCCTTCAACCAAATCAGTCAATTCACATCACATCACATCAGTGAATCTGTGGACACATCAGAATCTACACAGAAAATAACACGCATTTGGAAATACCACCGATAGTGAGTGATATGGATTATAAAAGGCACCTTTTATCAAACCCAACAGAAGCTTATATTATTATAGGTACTGTCATTATTATTATTATTAATAATGCTAACATTTCTTTTTTCTTTTAATAGCTTTTCCCCTAATCCCTCATGATTGGTGCATCCATTCTAGGAGTGAAAATCCACCAATCAAATTCATTCTTTTATGAAATTTTGAAACAAGTTGTAAATTTTTGTATAATAGTAGATATTTTTTCCCACAATTTTGAATGAGTGATTGGTCGGGAAGAGAAATTAGAAAAAAAAAGTATTCCTATTACAATAATGGTTTGTTATAAAAAGAGTAATAGTAATACTACTAATAATAATAGTGGTAATAATAACAATGAAGGGATAAATTGTCTGTATAATGATAATGATGAGCAGAAAGAATAATCCCACAGAATATAAATTTCAATAAAACTGTTGCATACAAACAGAATTAGAATCATTGTACATTAGGATATCTTTTATTATTATCATTATTATTATTATCGTCATTATTTTCACTGACGCACAATTACCCATCTAACTTGTAATGTTTTACAAAGATATACATATATATGTAAAATATGCTTAATTTAACAATGCGACTACTCATAATGTTGATTGTTCTCTTACCTGTTTCCACTGATTCCACTGACAATTCTCTATATAAAGATATTCAGTTGGAGACAACAACACATTCTGTTATAAGACCTGATATTGAAATATCTGTTATAATCATGGCGTGTGTAGTGTGTTGTATTGTCACAGTTGGAATTATTGGTAATGTACTGGTTATTTGTGTTCTAACATGTAATCGTAAACGTATGGTATATGAAACATTCTGTGTTGGACTGGCTGTCACAGATTTAATCTATTTAACAATGACTAGTCCAATAACTGTGATGCAATACTTTTTGAAAAGTTGGATATTTGGTATATTCTGGTGCAAGGTATTCAATTTTATTGTACAAGTAAGTTGTTAATTAATTTTTGCAGTGTAAAATAATTGAAATAACTTATTTATATTGGATGGAGGATTACATCATGAGCTGACATTGGTTAGAGAACCACCGAAAAACCTTGGAGTACTGGATAGCTGCTGAAGATTCCCAGACTAGGACGAAACAACTGTCCAGTACTCCAAGGTTTTACAGTATTTTTCTAACTTATGTCAGCTCATGATGAAATCCTCCATCCGATCATGCCGAATCCCTGTAAAACCAATACTTGATAAGTTATTCATATATTTGATGAATTATGCGATGTTCGGGTTATATTTTGAAATTTTTCAAATATGAACGAGTAATGCGAATGTTGTAAATGTAGTTTTTTCCATTTCAGTAGTTATTTTAAAATGAGACATCACCAGCTTCAGGGTGATCAAGAATGCCATGATCCTGGTTGGAGCATCATCATTGCATCTCGGTGGGTTGAAACTCATAACGGACTTCAATTTAGGAGGACTCAAGGGTGTAGTTTTTGTCAGTGGTGAAGCCTTACGGTCCTCACTTTGTGTCATAAAAACAAAAACGGTGACTTGCTTAAACCATTTGACTGTCTCAATTTCCCGTCCATCAAAATACACTGTATTTACCCCGTTTCATATCCTTTTTAAAAACCTTATTACCACAATGAGATATCACTCTAAACTTGAGCACAATTTTGATCAGGGTTCCTATCTATCGTTCGGAATTTTTTGTGGGCACAGCATTGTAAAACAATGTTGGAACATAATTAGGAGAAAGACGATATTCCTTTTGATGACGTGTTATCGTTATAAGAAGTAAATACCTTGATATAAGTATACAACGTGTGCATTGTGGTGTTAAATAACTATCCCATAAAATTCATTCGGAATATCAAAAACGGTCAAAAGCAAAATGAAAATAATGGGGAAACTAATAATGATAATAAAAATAAGAAAGAATATAAGGCATCTACCATATAAGTAGAGGAAATCTGGGGCCCTAGATGGCTTTTTAAACAAAGCAGGAACTAGGTTGGCATTTAAACCTACAAAGTCATTCAGACGCAAGCTCCGTGGGCTAAAGGACTCAGTGGTCCTGTGAGTCAACTATATAGGTCAAATTAGTAGGTCGGGGTAATCAGATTTCGGAAAATAAGAATTTAGCTAAGGTAAGAATGGTTGACCCAAAGAAGATAAGTAATTTAGAAAACAGCTCAGCAGTTGCACTACATGCATTAACACACAACCCCACAATAGAGTCGGGGAGGGTTAAGATTCTAAGCAGTAATCTATGTAGGTGGAGATGGGGAGAGATTGATTACTGAATCCTGGTTCATTGAGTTTGCACCCAACACATGCAACAAATACCAGAGATATGGAGGATATTATTACCATAAGTCAAATCAGAGGAGGATAACAAATAATCTAAAAATTCTATTTCAATTCAAGAACATCACAACATTCTAACAAGTTACTTATTATGACAACAAAAACACTCGTCTTATTTCCCATCAGATTGTAATTGATCAATAATACTCATATTACTATTTCTGAATGTACATTATCTTATATTGATTTTTATTCAAATGTCTAATCATCAATTTTACTCATGTATATAAATGAAGCATAAGGTTGTGTCACTGCTTGGATATGATTATTAGTAACAGTAATTTGTGCTGGTGACGTGGTCATCAGCTAATATTACTGTACAACACACAGTGGGATTTTATCAAAATAAAATCTTATCCATAATGGAGTAAATACCTTGCCATGAAATTCACTGGAAATTCTGTAATGTGTTTAAAGTAGACTTTTCACAATGAATCTGTTATCACTACCTATTTCCGATTCAATAATTAAAAACACAATAGTTTACTCAAATTAATTAATTAAAAGTCACTGGTGCACTTAATCTTGATATTGATTATTTACAGGAATCCTAGTACACTTTATATCAAGCTATATCATCGCAGGGGGATAATTTTAGTATAAATATTGTTAAGCAGTAACAAAATGTTTGTAGAATGGAAGCTTCGTCAATCAGGTTTGAGCTCAATTCTGACATGACTCAGTGAGTTTCTATAAAATAGGTCTACACGTATTCCTGCCTTATCAATTTCTTAACGGTTTTCTATCCTAAAAGCCTATCAGATGAATTAAATCTCGTATCAGAGAAACATTATTTTTGAAATATGCTATGAGCTTATAAAGCGCTTATAAGAAGGCTTAGCGTGCGTCGGTGATACAGTGGTAGAATGCCAGCTGACTACACACGTCGCCCGAAGTTCGATCCCCTGTCGACGCACTTCCAAACCTCGCTAAACCACTAATAAAACTGGTAAGGAGCGAAGGTTGGGCGTGAGGATAGCAGCAACCCATCCTGCAAAAAAATAAACACCACTGCTACAAAACTTCAAGCCTCTAGGTTGAAGCCACCCTATGTCCCACTGGGAACGTGAAGGAATCTTTAAAAAAATATAAGAAGGCTTAACCTCCCGTCATCAAGTTTCAATTTGATCCTAATCCAGTTTGATAAGTGTTAATATGTTTGCATAAAAGTGTATAACTATGAATTTATTTTTGTTAGGTACGTTATCAAATTTCACAGTTTGACCTTCGTTCATTTAATATGGGAATGACTGTTTTTATTTTGTGAATAGTGTTGTTTCTTTTTATCAGGGCAGTTATATAAGGTCATATATTATGGGGAAATAGACATTTTATTAATCCATCTGTCTGTCATATGCAAATGTGAATATGGTTCAAATCAAAAGAAAACGCACGCATAGTACAGACACTGTAGACAGATCGATTCAATACTGTATGATGTAATTGATGCCCTGATATGATTATTGGCCTTTGCAGAATAACATTAGCATAGGTGTTCGGTACATAGAATGTTTTACGTTGTTTTTATAAGACTTAGCATAAAGTACCCTATGAAGTCATAACGATTATGTATCTTAATCTGAATATCATGACTCCTTCCCGATCAGCTTTACTGAAGAATGATATGAAATAGATTACGCCTTCTTTTCAAATTTCCTTAAGATTTCAAATCTTGGTTTGTAGGGATTTGATTGATTGGTTACAGGATTTCTCCAACCGATGTCAGCTCATAATGAACTACTTACATATCAGTGAAATGTTCACTAGTGACTGGCCCTATCCAAGCGGGTAGTTACTTGGGTTCTAGTGGAAAAACGTGAACAGTAGCGTGCAACAAGTCTGGTATGAGGATAAATACTCGCCAAAGACACATTGGCTAGTGGTCACGCCATATCATGAATTCGCAGAAGTTAGAATTCTTTGACTGGCCATTTGATCGGGTCCCAGTGGTGGCTTAATGGTCTACGAGCTCACTAGCCTTGTAGCCAGAAATTCCTGAGTTCGAATAGGTGTAGTGGGTGCGTTTCGATGATGAATCCCAATGAAGGAGGACGAAACAGCTGTTCAGTACTCCTAGCTAGTTTTAGAATTGTTCTCTAAGCGATGTCAGTTGATTATGAAATCCTGTAACCATTCCCCAAGATCGCGTCGGTGGCACAGTGGTTAGGACTCTCGCCGACCATGTACATGGTCCGGGGTTCGAGCCCGCACCGACGCACACCTGATATCTATGGTCGGCCTGCAAAATTTGGGCTACCGATATCCATGCTGAAAATTCCATACTTGTACCAAAAATACGGTGTGGAATCAAGCTGTAAATAAAAAAATAAAAAAAAGATTACTGGTAATTTGTGATAGACGATTACTTTCTTTGAAGTCTGGTTTTATGATATTGGAAATACTGCAGTGGTAGTATTTGAAGGTTGCAAGCCCTTAGACCTGTATCATTTTATTCAATATATATATATATATATTTAAACAAATGTACAGTCAGTTATTATTCCGTTTCAGCCTGTTCTCTGTAGTCCTTTTTGGCTGGCCCCTCGACTCCTTATAAGGTCTCATATCCTCTTCAAACGATCTCTTGTATGTCACTCTCGGACCCACTCCAAATTTTTCATTTCATTTGGGTTCCACTTGAGAACCAGTCTGGTGAGTTTTATCATTCGACAGTTTCCTCAGTGTACATCCAACTCATCTCCATTTCCCCCGGGATCATTTTTAGGTAACAGGTTCTCGGTTGGTTGGTTTCCAAATTTCTTTATTACTAACTGTTTCTGGACATGTGATCTTTAGTGCGGAGCCAACGAAGACAGCTTTTTATAAAAGTCTGTAGTGACCTGTCTGATATGCTTTTCATGATCAGGTGATTTCGTGATCCATAGAAAAGAACTAATTTGGTATAAGTTGGTTATGCTTTATGCTGAATACAGTAGGTTTCTACAGTAATTTCAGATTAATGAAGATCTGTTTTGTCTTTCCGATCCTGGCTTGGTATCCTCATCCTTACCGTCCTTCTGTATTTGGAATTGGGCTTCAGTAATAAGTGAAACTGGAGACTTCCTAAAACTCCCTCTCTCTCTCTGATACTGATTGGTACTTGTTGTTATTTTCTCGTTATCTTCATGACTTCTGTTGCAGGACCATCTCTGTACTGGTTTTTAAATATCTATAGTGTGTTCATATTGTAATATGCTGTAAAGTTCCTAAGAATGACTACCCTATACAAGATGCCCTCCAAATATTGGTACTTAGCTATTGGTTTAATCGGCTAGGAACTAAAATATAAAAAAAAATAAATTGTGTGACTTAATACAATTGACGGGAGTGAGTAGAACTCACCTGAAACTGAAAGAGAGTCAAGCTAAAACAGTAAAGATGAGAAGGAGAAATGTACTACTGGATTGGGGATGAGAAAAATAATAGAATTAAAAACAAGCCAAAATTAACACATCCAGTGTTAAGATAGATCAAGTCCACTGTAGATTCAGTGACTGAACCAACTACTTTTGTATGCGGAGTCCAGGAGTGAACATGTGGATCATCATCGCTTCTGAGGTTTTAAATAAAGTTTAATTCACAATCCTTCAGCAAGATATCCACGTATTCTGTAGA